CCCTGCCATCCAGAGGGGGGCGCTCAGCTCCCTCTTGCTTCGCCCTCCCCCGCCATGCCCCACCTTATGACAAACAAGGCGTGGGCCTTTCGGAAAGGGAGAAGTCCGGATTTCTCCTCTTCTTTCCCGCCTAAGAACGCTGCCCCTCCAGTCAGCTTTACATTGCATGGGGAGCAGGGCGGTCTAGTGGTTAGAGCAGTAGGCTGCGCACTAGGACTCCTGGGATCTATTCCTTGCTCCGTCACTGCTCTGCTGTGTGACTGGGGTAAGCCACCTCACCTTTCTGCGTCACTAAAATGGGGGTGGGATTTTTCAATGGGCTTTGAGATCCCCGGGTGACTAGAGGTGCCCTGCTCTGTCGTCCCTGTTGCCCTAACACTCCTCTTGCCAGCTGAGGGGTGGCTTCACTGACTGGTGCCCTGTGCCTCCCTGCAGAGTGCAGGTCGCCGAGCTGCGAGAGCTGCTTCAGCAAAGATTTCTGCATGAAATGCAAAGAGAAGTTTTATTTGCACAAAGGGAAGTGTTTCAGCGCGTGCCCGCCGAACACCACGGCCCAGCCCAGCACCAGGGAGTGCCAGGGTAAGTCTCGGGTAATCTCTGCCCCTTCTCCCTTGGGACGCTCCTCCCTCTGCCCTTTCCCATCTGAGCTGATTCCTGAACAATCCCGCATGGGCCTGGGATCCCCCAGCACCAGATACAGGATTTCAGTCCAGAGCAACTCAGGTTCCAGGCCTGATGCAAAACCCACTGAAATCAACGGCAAGGCTCCTATGGGCTTCAGTGAGCTTTGGCTCTGGATTAAAGGGGAAGGGCATGTTTTCCCACAGCCACAGGCTGCAGTCTCTACAAGTCCGTCCACAGCGTTTCTTAGCCAAGCTCTGGCCCCGCCCTCAAGCTGTGCTCGCACGCATCTGGCTGCCTGGGGTTTTGTGCACATAAATCTGAAATTCTGAGCATGCGAAAACTTGGCCGAGCAAAGTGTGTCTGCAGGAGGCAGAAAGGCCACTTTTGCATCACTGCTCTTTCCTGCCCCTGCCAGAGATGTGTGAGATGGGACCCTGGAGCGAATGGAGCCCCTGCAGCAACGAGGGGAGAACATGCGGCTGCAAGTGGGGCTCGAAGACCAGGACGCGCGAAGTCGTCAGGAGTACCAAAGAGGAGGTGCTGACCTGCCCGGCCCTGCTGGAATCCAGGAAGTGCAGAATGAGGAAGCATTGCCCTGGAGGTGAGGAATGGGGTGTGGAAGGAGATGATGCCCAAGCAGGCTGGCCAAGGAGACTGGATGTAGTCCTTATATTTAGAGCCACTGGGGGGAAATTCAAACCTTGTTTATGTCCCTAAACAACCAAAGAGAAGGGGGCTGAGTTAATATGATTTCCCCATAGCAGCACATCTATCGTGACCGGGAAGCCTTGATCGCATCTTGGAAATCAGCCCAGGCGCATGTCCATAATCCATCTGGCTATGAAGAAAATTGCGCTCACACAAGCATCCACATGCATGAAGCAATGGAGCCAGGGCCAGCTCTGGCTTTTTTGCTGCCCAAAGCAAAAAAGCCTCCCCGCGCGGCAGGGGAGGGCACCGAGCCCAGCCACAGGCTGCTCTCCCCGACTGGCCGGAGCGCCGGGGGGAGGGCGGCGAGCCCGGCCGTGGCTCCGCTCTCCCCAGCGGCCGGAGCTGGAGCACCCCGCCGCGCCGGGCCCCTCCAGGTGCCGCCCCAAGCACAAGCTTGGTGGGCTGGTGCCTGGAGCCGGCCCTGCCTGGAGCTGGCCCTGCAATCCAGCCCCTTACACTCCCATTTCCTGGGGGTTGCTCTGCCAGTCTAGCCCACCGCTGTGCTGTGAACACCTGGCTGTGGCTCGAAGGTCAAGCAGAGAGAGCCAGGAAGTGTCTATAACCGATCAGACTTCGCTGGGGTAGAACCAGGAATCGAGTGCAGGGCCCGCTGGGGACGCCGGCACAGCCCGCTGCAGCGAGCTGCCGGCCTAGGCCAACAGCTGCGGGCGCATGCTAGCTGCGCTAAAAATAGCTGTAGCCGTACCCTTTGTCCTCAGGCCTATGCCAGAGCCACAAGGCCTTCCTCTCCCACGATACGGGAGGAGGCCAAACCAGAGGAAGGGAGCAGCCACTTGCTCTGTTTAGTCATTTGCAAAGCTCAGGGGTTGCGTTCAGGGTGTTTTGTTAAACATCAGAATAAAGACAACGGCGTTACCCAGCGCTGAGCGCGCCAACTGGCTCACTTGTGGGCATGTGGCTTAAGGCACTAATCCATACGGGTCAGACTGTGCCTGCATGACTAGAGGCTGGAGCCTGACAAATGAGCCCCTGGATTCGAGGCCAGATGCCACTACTGCCTCACGTGACTCTGCTGTCTGCCTCAGTTTCTCCATCTGCCAAATTCCTGGCTCGGAGAGGTGGAGTGAGACATCACTGTTTTGAGGTCCTTGGATAAAAGGCTCTAGAGAGCTGCAGAGTATTATACACATGCATATTTGCTAAATTAACATGGAGTATTCGAAAGGTGATTTCTGATCCGTGGCTTGCAAAATGACCCCTGCCAGGAGAATTGACCCCAGGAGGTTTTGGCTAAATTGGGTTTTACCACTCTAATGGTCCCTTGACAGGCCGTGAAATCCATCCTGCCCCCTAATTCCCAACTTATCCAGTCCCATTATCCAAACTGGGGAGTCTCCAGTTTCAAGGATAGCCTGCTGCTGAAACATAGACCCTTCTCTTGCCACCATCAACCTGTATCCAGCCGTCGCCACTTTCGAGTTTCCCAGACAAGTGCAAGGGATTCTCTGCTTAGGAATCAAATCTAAAATCCTGGTTGTGGATCTTTGGGCCCAATAGAAACCAGAAGGCAGCTGAGATCATTCTTGGATGTGATTGGCCGGGCTGTGAGTGTTCTTAAGAACTGGCTTGTAAGGAGTACTGGTCTGTCGCCCTTGGAATGAGATCCCAGTTCCTGGCCCCAGCGTTTGAGTGATTTACGGCTCTGAGCCGGGGCTCGCTGAGTGAAGAGCACATTGCTTCAAGTTACAAAAGCCAAAGGGGGGAGACAGCAAACGAACGATCAATCGATTGATCGATAGCTCGTAAAAGACGTGGGGAAAGAATGCGAGGAAAGGGGGAAAAGAAAGGGAGACAGGACTGATAGAGTGGGAAAAGGAGGAGTGAAGGGCTGAAGTAAATAGAGATCTGCAGGCTGAGCATAGAGAAATTCTTCCTCCTCCTCCTCCTTCTTGGCCCTTTCAGCTTGTATTAGGATAATAAGTCACAAATATTTTCCGCTAATAACGATGCCTATGAGCAGCGATCTTCCGCTGGCTCATCATTCCGGAGAACTCGGAGCATTGGGGAGCATAATGGGAGCCAGGTGGCATGAATTTAGGGGAAATGTTGCTTTCTCCTCTTTCTCCTCCTCACCCAAGCTCTGAAAACTGGTGACAACTGGGTGCCCCTGCTCCTGTACGCACTGCTCCTGAAGCGGGATGTTCCACTGGCACTGAGCCAAGCTGGTGTGTGTGTGTGTCTCTTGTGTTGTGTTGTGTTGTGTGTCTTGCTTTGGCTGCTCCTCCCTGCCGCGTGCGCAATTGCATGTTTATTAGTCACTGACCTTTCAAAACAATGTGCTGCTCCATAACAACAAACCCCTCCGTCTCCTACTGTGCCGAATAACAGATCCAGGCAGGACAATCCATATGTCGGCTTGGAGGGAGCCTCTGTCAACAATCTTGACTCGGCCCTAGGCCTCCTGGCCACCATCCGTAGAGTGTTGGCACACAAGATCCCGGGGGCTGTGATGCTGAAGAGGATCCTTGATGGGTCATCGTAGCTGTTGCTTCAGAGCCACCACGTCAGGCATGTTCCCAAGGCCTCCCCCGGTCTCTGTTGTAGAAAGGCGTCTGGCCTCAGGGGTTAACATGGACCCAAAAGAGGACAGAAAAACTAGGGCCCTCCCTGACTCCGGGGCAAGAGGCAAGGGCTAGTGAAAGGAACGAGATGTTGCGGCAGCTTCAAATACCTCGGGTGACTTCTCTCCACTTCGCGGGAGGAGCAGCCTTCCCATCCGAGCCACCGATGAGTCAAAGTTTCCTTTGATGGCTCAGTGTATCCCCCCGTGGATCACAAAGCATAGAGTTGGAGCAGCCCTTTGAAGCTACCAGAGCAGAGCCGGAGGAGTTTTAAAGGCGAGGGTTCCTTTCAAACGGAGACATTGGAATGGGGATTCTGCCTCCCTACGGGGCAATCGCTGGAGCATCAGATCTTTCCAAGGCCGTCAGTGAATCTGATTTACAGACGCTGTTTGGGGGAAGCTAGGAAAGGCTTTAGCTTGTTGTCCTCCTGGGCCTTGACAGCTCAAGGTGACATCATCGGCTGGATTCCACCCTGGGAACTGACATGAAACAAAACGGAGAGGATGGGCCGTGATCAAAGCTGCCGGAACACTGCCGGGGTAAGACGGAGAAGGGGAAAAGAAAACAGACACCCAGCAAGGAAAGCAGATGTAGGGAGAGGAAAGGCAGAGAGTTGGGAACAATCCTGCGCAGTCCCTGGATCAGAAACCCCACGGGAACAAACGCCCAAGCAATGGGTCCATCTTGTCAAAGCTCCAGACACAGTCACAAGCTCACACCTTGGTTCAGAGAGTGAACTCACCCTGGACACTGGGCCTTCAGCCCACCAAATTCCAGCTCTGGGGGGTATTTCAACAATGCATAGGCCCCTAGCTAGTTTTCTGCCCAGAGGCGTAGGTGAGCCAGACAGAGGAAGAAAGGTACATGTCTGAAGAGACCAGCCAGGAGGTTTGTGTGTGTGTCACCGCCCGTGCCTTCTGTGGCCGTCTCTTTAGATCCCCGCACACCAAGCAGTGTGGCTTTGATGGCACAGCCGAGGTGCTGCGGGAGCTTCCCCTCCCCGGCCTGTGCAAGCCACGCAGAGGCCGAGGCTAGTGCTGTGACCAAGGGCTGTGTCATTCCAGAGGTGGCGCTGTTCTCTCTGAATTAGTGGTGCACGGTGGGGCTCGGAGACGCTGGGCACCCTTCAGATGAAGCCTAAAACCTGGTGCTTGACCACTGGTGCCTATAAAAATTCTGTGACCCCTTTGCAAGATCAGGGGTGTCAACCCTGGTGTCGTGACCAAATTCCCAAGGGGCATTTCCACTTCACCTTCTGAACCCCTTCCCCCTGCGACTGAACGCAGTGTTCTTCACTTCCTGTCCTAAACTGTCCCGTGACATGGCTGTTAAATCCCAGATGGGCAGGGCTGACAAGAGGGGAGGAAAGGGGGGACAAGGGTACTAGGGTCCCCCCAAAACCTCGGTACCTGGGGTGAAATGGGAGAGGTTGGACCCCAGCCAACATGATGTGTTGGGGCCCCAAATTTCTCTCAATGGGCCTGTAGAGGTCGCTGCTTCTGTGTGATCAATGAACGGGCCCCCCAGGGATAGTTTTTGTATATAGGCTTGTGGAGTTTGAAAAAGACTTTACAATGACAGGAAATACATAGGGACTTGATCCAAAGCCCATTGAAATCAATGGGAATCTTCCCTGTTCTGGTTCAGGCCCTAGGTAGACTGTCCTCTCCAGGAATGGGTGGGATTTTTCTGGGTGAACATGCATTTGTGTGTGTAGAAACCCGTATTGCTTAGGGGGCTTTGACGATTCCCCCCCGGTGTGAACTTCCCCTTCGTGGCACACGCCAGCAGAGACAGGAGCTACTGCTGGGGCGGACAATCCGGGAGCCAACTCGTTCGGGGCTTGGCCGCGTGGCTGGTACCACAAATGAGAAGAAAAATGCAGAACGAATCTTCTGCTACATGGGAAGCCCCGGCAGCCGGGCTCCTCGCAGCAGAGTGGAGCTGGGAGCAGCTGCGGCGAGGAGGAGCACCAAGCAAACTCTTCTCATGTGTTCCCAATCGCCCCGGGGTGCGTCAGATGCTTTCACCGTCAGCGAAAGTTCCAGGGATGTGAGGAATCTGACAGGGCGCCAGGGTCCTCCTGGCGTTTTATGTTTCTCCTCTTTAATATCCCTCCCTCCAGCTTTCCCATGTTCCTCTTTCCAGCCCCCATTGACCCTGGGTCTGCACGGCAGGGGTGGGGAAAGGGCTCCTTTCCCTACTATGCTGGGGGCTGTTGCACAGAGCCCCCTCCACAGGCTGTCTGGGAGGGACACACCCTCCTCTCCAGACCCAGGACGGAGCCTGGTTTGATCCCCTTCTCTCCCAGCACGGGGGAAATCCGCCGGAGCAGGGACAACAGCACATTGGCACGGAGGCTTGCTGGGCAGAGCTGAGAGGAACGTTTGACCCTGATCCAAAACCCACTGAAGCAGCTGGGCGTCTAGCCACCGAATCCAGAGGGCTTTGGGTCAGGGGGGGGTCTCTCTCCGTTAACCACACAGCCCAAGTCTGCTCCTGAGTGCCCAGCCCCCTGCTAGAAAGAGGGTGGGGGTCTCAATTGTGCTGCTCTCATGTTCCTCTCTATGGCAGAGATGGGTCCGAAGGGAGGCCCCCCCCCCCATTCCCAACACAGAAATGCTGGGGTGCCCGAATCCCAGAGGCAGTGCCCAAATCCCAGAGGTGGGCCCATCTCTGCTTTTATGCCTCCGCTGCCCTCCCCCTTTTGTCTTTTTGCTTTTTCTTCCCCCTACCCCGGATGCCCGAGAAACAGCCCTGGCATGAGCTGGGGGTTCTGGGGCCACCTTTGGCTCCTTTCTACCTCCTGGCCAGTCTGCTCTGCTGGGGGAACCCCTCTGACTTCCCGGGCTGCCGGGCACTTTTGGCCCAAAGAGCCTGGGTAGGAACGTTGCCCGCCAATGTGCTGGACCTGGCTGCAGCCTGTGCATACCCTGGCTATAAAGTAAGGGAGGAGGGTAGTGGGGTCAGAACTGCAGCCCAAGGGGCGCATCCTGTCCCCATTGAACTGAATGGGAACTCAAGGGTTCACCAGGTGGGGGATGGGATCTATCCTCCCATTGTACAGATGGGAACCGAGGCTCAGAGAGATTAAGTGATCTGCCTACGGTCACCCAGGGAGTCTGGGACAGAGCAGGGGTTTGAACCTAGGTCTCCTGAGTTCCAGCTCAGGCCATCCTTTGTTAGCTCAGTATAACACCCCTGGGAGGTCAATAGTATTATCCCCACTTCACAGATGGGGAAACTGAAGTCTAAACAGAGCGATTAAATAACGACCCCAAGGGCACAAAGCAAGTCAGTGTCAGACTTGGGGAGGAGAACCCAGGAGTCCTGCTGGGCTGGATGGAGGGGTGGGGCTCCCAAGCGTTCCCGGTTCCCAAGCCAACGAGCGATCCTTTCTGTGTTTCAGAGAAGCCCGAGACCATCAAGAAAACAAAAAGGGAAAAGAAACAGAAGAAGCAGAAGGCAGATTCGCTGGCATGCACCTAACCAGCATCCTCACAGGTGGGACTCCGGGAGGCAGCACTGGGGGCGGCCCTATGGGAGCGCCGTGGGGCACAAAGGAGGTCTTCACCCTGAGGTCTCAGCAACATTTCCTTTTCCACCTTTTCCAGCCAGAGAATATTGCACAATTCCCCACCCACCACCACACATACACACATCCCTACATGCGTCTTTGGAGGCCGTTTACGGCCTGTGAAACATTTCTTCTTGCAGCCCGACTGCGAAAGCAAAGCTCTGTTTTCTCCCCTACCCCCGATGCACCCTCACAGTTCGGCTCCTTCTCTGGGGCAACCAGAGCCAGCTGCCGTAGGGAGCCAGGTGACGCTGGCTGGGCCGTGGTGGGTTTGCATCCCTGGCTCAGTTACCTGCCCAGTAAGAAGAGTTACAGAACAGCGCCGAGCGTGGCCGGCACTGCCAGGGGGAAGAGGAGCTTCGAGTCTGGCACGGGACGGCCTCCTCCTCCTCCTCCTTTACAGATGGGGAATGCCTTGAGAGCAAAGGGGCGAGTTATCCCGCGCGGCGCCATCACCCAGCACGGCTACGCTGCAAAAATGGCCAGCAGGACATTCGACGGACCCAGGGCCTTCACCAGGTCTTCTGGAGCTGACGGGTGGGAGGTTCCCCTTTCCCTGGCAGGCTCGTCCCCTGCCTCCAGACTGGATTTCTGTGGCGGGTTCCCCACCCACCCAATGGAACCGGAGCAGAATGCTAGCAATGGACCGCGCTGTAACCAGGAGCTGGGGAGCAGCCTCTCTTGGAGAGCCCCATCGTTGCTACGTTACAGCACAGCTGGCCATGCCTCCAACTCCCACCCAGCACCTTCAGCCCAATTACGTGGGCGCGCAGCGGTCTGAACGGCCCCCGTGCCAAGCCTCCCAGCCTTTCCCCTCCAACTCTTTCCATGCCCGCTGCTCCCACAGACCCCTGCTCGGAGGTGAGTGGGGGGCAGACGCTTTGGTTCTTTCCTGGGGCCAGCTGTCCATCTCGTCTGTGTGAGAAATGAAAGCGTCCACGGGGGAGAGCCGAGTGACTGAAAAACGGGGACATTCCCCGGGCAGGAAATCTCAGAATTGTACCGGGCCCTGGCCACGCTCCATCTTCCTCCCCAGGGCTGTGATCCTGCCAGGTGGCGAGTGCCCTCAGCTGCCCTGGCACTCGGCACAGGATCGGACCAGACTCCAAATACAGAGCACCAGCATCCAATCCCACAGGCCTTACTCAGGTACCACTCCCATTGCCTGCATAAGGGCTGGGGGATTTCCTCCCCAGGACAAACCGGGGCAATAGAAGAATCCTACACCCCTGCAACAGCCCGAACTGTCCCTCGTTTTTACTGGACTGAGAGTCTGGAGAGTTGAAATTCTGTCAGTAAATCTCTTGTCCTATTACCATGCGGGACTAGGAGGCAAGCCTGAGCGACCACCAGAGATAAAAGAACTTTCTCATGAGCTTCCCAGCCCACCCCCTCTGGAGAGTTTATCCAAGTGTCCGAGAAGGAGCTGAGCTTCTTGATCCTTCACTGCACCAAAGGCAAATTCTGCCCCTTTAGTGGCCAGCCCAGCCCTCGCCCAGGACACGACCCGTGGGGATCTGGGGACCCTATCATGTTGGTGTGCAGAAGGGGTTAGACAGTATCTGCAAATTCCTCAAATATGTGTGTCACTCTCACAGAGATTTGTGGCGTTACAAAACCTAACCAAGACAAGCTGGTGGGAATAGCTCAGTGGTTAGAGTATTGGCCTGCTAAACCCAGGGTTGTGAGTTCAATCCTTGAGGGGGCCACTTAGGGATCTGGGGCAAAATCAGTACTTGGTCCTCCTAGTGAAGGCAGGGGGCGGCTAGACTTGATGACCTTTCAAGGTCCCTTCCAGTTTTAGGAGATAGGTATATCTCCATATTTAAAGAAAAGGCCGCTCTCATTTTCTAGTGCCAGACATCCGTGCACCCTTTGTCAACAGAGAGCTCAGGATGTTTCAAAGAAGACTTTCCTGAGAGTCCTGCCCATCAGTACCAGATTAAGCTCTGTTAGGGCAGATCTATGGTGGGAAGAGGACATTACATGGGGGAACATTATAGCATTTCAGCTAAGAAAGAATTGCAAGTGTGAAAAATCGGGATGGGAGTGGTGGGTAATTGGCTCATATATAAGATATAGTCCCGAATATCAAGACTGTCCCTATAAAACTGGGACATCTGGTCACCCTAAGTCCCCTCACCCTAAACTTCTAGCAGCATCAGATGCCTTCTAGCATTCTAACTCAGTTCTATGATTCTGGCAAATTAGGTTTTATTGTCTACATAAATAAATATATATTATATATATATGAAATATAGAAATTTATTTCTAGAAAATCAATGTATTTAAAATGTCTCTCACTATATATATATTTTCTTATGCTAGTTTAAAATAAGAATTTTGGTTTTAAATAAAAGTATTGTACATAGCAATTTGTGGTTCAAACTTCGATGATGATGGGGTTGTAATAGCCATGTGTTTAGGGCACTGGCAACACGTTGCTAGTTTTTTGTCATACAAAAGGTTAGCTAAACAATGCCAACCCTTTCCTATAGGGAGTGCCTCGTGTGTCATTTTTACTAGTGACCACGAGGTGTCGCTGTCAAGTAAGGAATGGCTAGTACTATTTCCTACTTACTTATAAATAAATATAGATATTCTTGAGATTTAACAGTTACCGTCCCACGAGGAAGCAACATTCAAAGGCATCAAGGATTCTAATAACTTGGGTTTATGTATCACCCTGCATTGCATCCGAAAGGGCAGCTGGTTGGTTTGTTTACTAGTAAATAAATATATTAAACCCTCCAGCGTGTGCATCGTGTCTTTGCTCACTGACACCCATCAGGACTTCGAGAATCCATTTTTATATTGCAGGTGGTTTGCTTCACATCATGGGTGCATGCACCCCATTCCCTACGGGGGCAGTGGGGCCAAGGGCAGTGGGCTGAGCAGAGATGGGGGTCCACTCCTGGCTCTGACACTAATTTGCTTGGCCAAATTATGCACAGTATCGCAACCCCAAACAAGCAAAAATCATGAGAGTGGCTTCAAAATCAGGATTTTTTTTTAAATATACATTTTGGATCCTTTTCATTTGGCTTCTGGATTTTCAGCCTTAAATCTCAGGCCTTTCTCTGCAGCCACAAGGGCTAGACACTTCAAAAAGGAAGGAAAAGCAACCTGAGGGCCACACAGTCACCTGATTCTAGGAGTTGGGGTTTGAAGAAAAACAACAAATACAGTTTTCCAAGGGCCGCGGTGGATTCTCCATCGCCAGCAATTGTTCAATCTAGCTTGCGTGTTTGTCAAAGAGATCTGCTCTGGGCATGTTTTCAGGGCAGGCCCCTGGTCTGTGTTGTACAGAAGGTCAGACTCGATGATCACAGTGGTCCCCTTTGGCCTTGGAATCGACACGTCGATCGCGGGACTTGCAATAAAATCACGAGAACTGGCAGCAGGGTGTTTAACTGAGACATGATGGTCCTATGTAAAATCCTATGAGATCATTGGATGAAAAGGTCAATATAAATGTGTCATCCTATAAGAATAGTGAATATTTACATTGAGGTAGAGCCCAGGTTGGGTCCCTAATGTGCTAGGTGCTGTACAAACGTAGTCAATGCCAGCACAAGGGGCAGAGGGCGGGATGGAATGACGGCTGGCTAACAGAAACAATCGGCTATTGTAACCCAGGCCAGCTGTGCCACACATTAACGACCTTAATTGCTGGTATGTGTGGGAGTTGGACACCCTATTTAGCAGCCTGCGTTTGAAAACTGGGCTCTGAGGGCTAAATGCAGCTCTGGTGTAAGCCCGAGTAACTGCATCTTTGGCAATACAATGGGCGCGTTGTCACCCCAGGGCTCTGATCCCGAGGGTCAGGTCCTGAGCTGGAGGGTGTAGATCAGTGTCACTACATGGACTGCAGCTGTCCCACCTGTATCAGCCAATATCCTGGGCACCACAATGGGGGGAGAGAGGGTGTCTCAGGTGACCCAAAAGGAAATAAACAGCGATAAAGGCAAGGTGCTTATGTGAGGCTAAAGAAGAGTGGCTGGAACTTCTCCCTCTGCTCCAGTCAGGGGCCCTGGCTTTTGGAAGCGTCACTGATTTAAGACTATTCTTTATGCCTAAATGTTCCTTTCTGGTCTTTCCTGCCTGGGAAGTTTCAGTAAGGGACCTGGAGACATTCTCCCTCCTTGCTGCAAGGTGTGATCTGTTCCACAGACTAACTTCAGAGCCCAAGGAAGTGCGGGGGAGGGTGCCCAGGTCTGGCTAGCTACAGCCAGAGAAGTAGGAAGGTTGCACCATCAGCATCCAGGATGAATGGTCCCCACAGAGCGGTGGGAAAGGATTATGTTTGCTTTGCTTTGATGTTTTGCGGAGCCCTTCCGTCTCTCCCGAGGCAGCCTGCTAATCCGGCCTCTGGGTGTGAGAGCAGAGGCAGTGGTTAACCTAGAACAAGGATACACATAACTGCATTCAGTGGGACCCCTTAAGGAATCCATGAGCTCTGGGAAAAGAGTCACCCTTCTGGGCTTTCAACTAGACCTGCCAAAAGGTGCAGGGAAGTCACACAACGTGGGCCAAAGTTTACACCAGTGAGGAAGTTTCCAGGGCATCAAAAGGGAATGGACAACAGAAGGGTCGCTTGTGAGAGCAATAATAATGCGAATCCCCCTCGCCCTTTGTGCTCGACTCTCCCCTTACAAAGCCTTGCATCCTAGCCAGTGGGGCACTCGGCCTACACTCAGTCATACGCCCGTGCCACCGTGCGTCCTGGGATTAGAGAATTCTAGAAGTGTTGGGCTGGAAGGGACCTCAAAACGTCGCTGAGTCCTTCCCCCAGGACCAAGGCAGGACCGAGCAAACCTAGACCATCCCCGATAGGAGTTTGTCCAAACTGTTCTGAAAAACCTCCAATGACGGGGATTCCACAACCTCCCTTGGAAGCCTATTCCAGAGCTTCACCACCCTTAAAGTAAGCAAGATTTTCCCAATATCTCCCCTACCGCTCCCTTGCTGCAGATGACGCTGAATTACTTCATGCTTGTAGAGTAATATGCAAATTAGGCTTTCTCCGTATTGCGCCCCTTTGCATTTTATCCCCGGTTCAGGTAGGAAAAGCCCGACAGCCAACAACCTCTGTGTGTGAGAGCGTGTTTGATGTGCAGCTTCTAAATCATCCTGACTGTCCCTTGTGGGCCTGACCTCTGAGTGCAAATCTTTCCTCCAAATTCCTATCTGCTACTATAACCCCGCAGATTCCTTCAGGCTGTTTTCCATGCGCTTTCCTGGAGAATTTGCTGCGGAAAGCAAGAGAGTTTTCTCTTCCTACAGCTCCCAATGCAGAGCCGAGAGGAGCAGCCAACCCAAATATCCCCCACGGGGCAGATGAATGAAGCTGGTGAGGATCTCTGCTAGCCAGCTGAACTGTGCAGGGCCGACAGGATGGGGGCAGGCAGTGTCTTGTCTTGACACATTTCTGGAAATATTCCTGGTAGCATTCGAGCCCTGAACAACCCCTGCTGCTAACATAGACCATGTAACGGGAAATCTTTGACTCCAGCATTTTTTTCTCACTTCTGTTGCAATCTCTGTTGACAGATTAGATGCCTAGGGCCAAGTCTGCTCCGTTTCCCACACATCCTTGCTCGAGCCCCCGGTGCAGTTCAGGTGCAGCTGGGAGAAGAATTGAAGTCCGGGGGGCGGGGGGTGATGCTGCAGCATTTGGCTCAATGTGTCCAAACCGGAGCAACCGTTAAAAGCTTTTCCTGCCCTTGAGCTTTCTAAGCGTCACCTCCCTTTTGAAGGCAGAGAATTTCCCCATGACCTGAGGGAGCGACTCTAGAACGAGGAGTCGTAGCCCGCACGCTCTTAGCCGCGCGGGCTAATTTTCATGAGAAGAAAGTCAAATAAGTCAACACAACCGGCAAGTCAACAGAAAACTCCCCGGCTCGGGGGTCACCCAGCCCTGTGGACAGAGCCTGACCTTCCCAAAGCCATTCCCCCCAGGCTCTCCAACAGGCCGTCTTTTCCCCTGCTCCTCACTAACTGCAGGGGCAGAAGGAAGCTCAAGTCAAGTTCGTCCCGCGGTGACCTGTGACTAGGCACCTCATCACAGTCATCTCTAAGGCCACGGTCCTGCAAACAGCCATGGCTGTGAACAGTCTCTCTGAAGTCAAACGTGTGACGTCAAGCCCAGGCGTTGTCAGACCCTACAGACCTGCAGGGCACCATTTTGAGACATTTGCTCAGAATAACCCTGATCTTTGCTGTGCCTCCTTCCACAAAATGCACCCGCCTTCACCTTTGTTGTCCCAGTCTGACCCTCGGAACGGTGGCAGCAGCCGGTGCCGGTCCCCATTCTGTTCTCCTCAAAGTCGATGGGAGTTTCGCTGTTGACTGAAATGGGAGCTGGAGGCAGCCCAGCAGGTAATGTGTTTCGGGGTTCAGACCATGTGACAGCCTGGATCTGCTGGGAGCTGTACATTTGGCATGGTTTGGATTACCCCATGGATTGCTTGGCCTCCAGATTGTTGAATTTGGGAATGGATGGTTTCATGCACACGCCAAGCCTCTGCCTATTTTCAGCCAATAAAAGCCATCGGTGTCCACAGTTTTGCCATCGCACCGGTTCTAATCCCACCAAAGGATGCCATCGGTTCTGCTCTTGCTATGCTGTGTCCCCAGCGTTATGCCCCTTTCCAGTACAGAACTGATCCATCATTCCCCAGCAAATGGATCCCCACCTACTTCCTGGTCCCGAGCAGCATATTCTTATTGCGAATAGCAGATGGCTTGGGTAGTATTTAAAGGATCGTCTCTCTCGCTTTGTAGCCTGGGAAGCACTAAAAATGGCTGCTTGGCCTGATTAATAACTGACGTGAAACTCTGTTGTATAACTCAGGCATAGCTCATCAGGCCCAGCAGTTTCCAGGATGAATAATCCAACTCATCGGATGTCACAATTACTGAGCACGTCAACCCAGCAGAGAGGCCAAATGGAGCCAAATTGGATTTTGCCTTAATTCAGCATCTTGAATTAATAACACTTAGGGTGACCAGATGTCCCGGTTTTATAGGGACAGTCCCAATATTTGGGTCTTTGTCTTACAAAGGTGCCTCTTACCCTCACTCCCATCCCGCTTTTTCACACTTGCTGTCTGATCACCCTATTAACACTGTGTGTTTTCTTTCTCCGATTGAAACTAAGTTCTTATAGACGACGTGGGAGCCTGGGGGTCGCTTTGGATAATATGCTCCAGTGCTTCCCAGTGGCAGATTGCAGAGACCTGCATGGTTAAGGTTAGAAGCCAAACAACAGCATCATGAGGTAGACGTTATCCACATGTGACAGATGGGGAAACTGAGGCATAGCTGGGCGTGGTGGAAGGGGCTAGTTTTCACATTGCCCCCAGTTTGGAAGCAGAATCCCTGCTGCTGCCTAGTGCATGCAGAGCTGCCAGTGGCGTGATACCCCTCAGACCCTGCGTGGCCAAGGCGTCCGGACCCCTCAATGAGCAGCATTTTCCTCACACCTGTGTCTGCTGGGCTTGGGATGAATCCGGCAATTGTTTGCATTGCTGAACATTTCAGGGGGCTCCGGATTTTATTTACTGGTCCATTCCGGCCCTTGTGCAGCTTGCCCCAGGTTTTCTGGGGGCAGAGACAGCCCCCTGCTTGCATCCCACTCAGGGAGGGGCCCAGTGCAATCCCTGTGAACAGGGGAGCATAGAAACAGCTCCTTCCTTGCACCCTGACATGGGGGG